TATGTGTCTTCGTTTATCTTCTGTTTTGTTTGCAGCAGTTTACATTGAATCACCTCGTTGCATTTTACTTGTTGGTCGCCAACCGTCAATTGCACTCGCATATATAAATCGCCGGCTGAAGCACTAGCGCCGTTGATGACGATTGTATTCATAGCTGAAACCTTCACGCCGCCGTCACGATTTGTGAAACACGTTGAATTATCTGGACCGGATTTTGTATCTTGTTGGTGTATCGCTTCCACCACAGTGCGTGAACTCGGCTCTGTAATCAGAATGTTATGGATTGCACCAAAACGAGCGCCAGCGTGAAATGTGGATAGTGGTACCGGGGTCTCAGAGTAAGCAATCGATTTCACTCGACGGTAGAACGCCACGAATTGTTCAAATAGCTGCCATACCAACACAGAACGCGTCAGATGCTCGTCGAAATTGTCTACTTCACCCAGCTTCTTTGGAAGTTTCCGCATCAACATCATAAGAAGAATGAAAGCGCATTCGAGATGGCCTTCTTCGCCCCATCGGAACCATCCGAAGCTTCGAAGACTATCTACTGTCAAATCTGTACGACCGATACGATCAAATAATCCATAACGACGGCGAGAGAGGACCGCGGCGAGCACTTCTCGGCAGTTGCACGGGACTTGAAAAAACGCAGACGCAAAGATATCACCACACTGGAGTCGCAACGCATCCCACACTTGGTCAACAACGCAGGCTGGGTCGATTTCCTCCAATTGTTCTTTTGTGTATTCGCTCAGAGTTTCTTGTAGTGTTTCCAGTGCTCGTCCATGCCCGCCCATGTCATCTACCAACTGCTTCTCCAACCTCGTTCTTGGTTTCAAGACTTCATCACCACGCAGTGCTCGTGGGACTAGAAACACGCGCTTCTGAGGAGAATCCGAAAGTGCCAAATCGACAGGACTTTGAACTGTTGCCGAACAAACACAAACAGCGAATGCAGTGGACGAATTCAAGAATCGGCAAATTGAGGACAACACGCGATAAAAATCGCACTCCCTGGTGCCATTGTTCACAAGCTTCTGAAGGCCATCCACGCACAGGATCACCGTCATATCTCTCACACTGTCAATCTCCTCCAGTTTGGCCAAGACGTCAATCGACGCTTCAATAGTTAGCGCAAGGGATTGGTATGACGTCTTCAATGTCTTGGCAAACTTCTTCCAATTCCTTCGATCTTTCGCGAGTTGGTAGAGCATTCGGTAGCTGACGTCATAATCAGGATTGTCACGATCAAGTAATGATCCGGTAGTCGAAGTGCCATTCCCAAACGTCACGTGAAATACATATGCGCTGTTCATTCTGTCGAGAAGCGCTTGATTCTTCGACCGGGCAGCAGCTGCACTCAGCAAACCCTTCATTTCGTCCAATGTGCGCGACTTTCCCGTTCCTGGCCCACCCAAAACTAGATTAATTGCGTGATTCTGCTTGTCCTCGTTATAACGATGCCAGGCGTTGTAATGCTTAATAAGTGGCTTCACAAGAAGATCCACAAGCTCTGGTGCTCCTTGATATGGCCAATCTTGTCCAGAGTTTGCGCAAAGTCGCTTTGGCTCCTTCCACTCTAGCGTATCCAATAATTTCTCCAATTGCACCGCTTCTGATTCAATAGCGACGCCGCTTCGCTGTGGCAGCTGCACTTCCACGATAAGTGCATCCTTCTTTGATCCACCGTGCGCGCGAATCGACCCGTCTTCTTCCAAAGACTGGTCGTTCTCGTCGTTGTACACTGCTCTGTTGGCGTAGACTCGCAGGTTGGCTGCAATCACATTCGAGGGTAGAATGGGCTTGACTTGGTCCCAGACTGCAACTCGCAAATCTGCAATA